TTCATCTGAGGCCTCTAAAAACTTGTCTTTTTCACCCAAAGATTCATTTTTCTCACAGTAGTAATTCAGTCCTTTCTTCCCAATGCCAGGAGAGGACCCAAAGCCTTTGGGAGGGTTGCGTATCAACTCTAGGTCTGATGCTTTTGTAAAGGGAAGATGAATTGCCGCTAGTAATTTGAGTTGCATTCTGGCCTTATTCTTGAATCTCTATCCATTTAGGGCAGTTAATCTATCATAGTAACAAGATGATAGTACTCTCATGGGAACTTTGTCCTACCTCCAGTTTTAATGGGAAGAGGTTTGAACATGTTCTATTATTAAATACCCATCCCCTATGTATGAACTTAACAAAGCAAAAAAGGACGAGAGGCTATACTTTGTACTCACATGATAAGATGTCGTCTTTTCTGTGGGAAGAAATGGGCATGCTGAAAAAACATAATGAGACTCAACTGTTCAGTGCAGAAAAGTGCCATTGTAGGAAATGGTGGCATATGACCTTTGATGCATGGATCATTGGCCAGAATGGTACAAAGGGAATCGTGCATCTAAGCTAACATTTTCAAGGTCAAATGATCTAGAATAGAGAAACTGCACTGGTGGGATGAAGAAGTTATCTCTGGACAACTGGGTGGAACTAGATCTACTACTTTGTTTGGCTGTTAAGTCCTGAAATGAAGCATCCTGGAGGCCTGAATGCTTCATTTCAGGAAGGATCAGGGACTATATGGGCTCTGCTGGATCCGGCTCCTCCCACTGATTTTTTTCCAAACGCACAGTCACCAACTAGATCAGTGTGAAGCTATCATAATCAATAAACATACAGCATACTTTTTTTTCAGAAAAAAACCAAAACAATGAAAGCAAAGCTTAATTTGGGTGGGGGGAAATGCCCTTCTTTACCTGTTTATTGCTTCCTTCCCTATTCCACTTTGGTTTGCTTTCCACGATTAGGATTGATGGCTTGAATCAATTTATAAGGCTTTGCTCTGGGTCATTT